TACAGATTTTTCCATTTGCGGCCTCAGACAGCTGCCTGAGTGACTTGGCCAGGGACACATGGCCAGAAGGTGTCAGAGGTACGACTCAGGTCTTCCTGCCTCCCAGGCTGGCTCTCCCTCCATCAGGCCTCCTGACCTCACATAAGATTACAAGATAAGAGTATATGGGGTCCAGATTAGTGCTACCCCAGGCCACTGGACATTTGTTGTTCCACAAACATTTATTAAGTGATTACTGTGTGCCAGGCCCTGGTGAAAAAGAAATACTCCCTGCCCCTGGAGCTTACATTCTGTTGGACGGATCCTTGTAGTTAGATGTTAGAGTGAAGAAGACCTGGATTTGAGCCCTCAGTCACTCTTGAGTGTATGACCTTGGACCAGGCCCTTTACCTCGTGGGCCTCCGTTTTCTCATCTGTAAAATGAGAGGCTTGGATGTGATGGAAGATTCTAGAAACCAATGATTGACTTCGCAGGCTCTCAAGCTGGGCCCAGAGTCCTGGGACAGACAGAACCCTCTAAAGCCCTGAAAGGAGCTGACGTTTGGGGCTGTTGCAGTGGGGGCTGGTAGGACAGCAACCTGGGGTTGCTTCAGGGTGGCAGGGTCAGAGGGCACTGCCCCCCTTCTGGCCGCCAGGAGGGAGGCAAAGTGCAACAGCTGTGCCCGACCCTCCTGACTGCAAAGGCAGGGCCTGGGCATCGCCCATGAGAGCTGCAAAATCAGGGATCTTTGCTGGAGGTCATGAAACTGGCCCCCTTCCAGGGCTCAGGAAGATTCAGGAGGCAGGAGCTGCAAGCAGATGCCTGTTGGAAATTAATGTCTCAGGAATCTTCCCCTGCTGCCCCACCTTGCGTGTGGATAGGTGAGCACGGCTGTCCTACCTGCTGTCAGTCTTGTTGAGAACCTGGGATGGCTGCTTTCCTCATCCGTCCTCCATCTGCAGCCAGAAGGGTCCTCAGAGGTCAACATTTTACAGGAGGAAACCGAGGCACAGGGCAAAGAAAATGACTTATCCAAGGTCACAGGGTAGTAAGTAGCTGAGCTGGACTTCAAACCTAGGCCCTCTGAACTGGGTTCAAAGCTCTTTCTGCTGGGCCATAGCCTATTTCTCAGGGCCTTTCTCTGACTGGGCGAGGGGTGGTGAATCAGAAGGAATTCTGGTCACGATCACAAAATCTGGAAGAAACCCCAGAGCCATCCAGTGCTACCCCTCCCTAATCAGGAATCCCCTTGACAAGAGGTCAATCAGCCTCTGCCTAAGGACCTTCAGGGAGGAGCCCCCACCTCCCAAGGCAGCCCGTGGCACTTGGAGGCAGCTCTCAGGCCAGGAAACTCTCTCTTTAAATCAAACCTAACCTTAGCCCTTTGCATCCTGCACCCAGTCTCCCAGTCTGTTCTTAAGCACTTACTATGATAATCCAGGCACTGAAAATACAAAATGTGCAAGTTCCTACCTGTGAGGAGCCTACATTCTCCTGGGGAACATACCCCCCCAAATACCTGCCAACTATTGTGATATTTCTTTCATCCTGGAGGCCATAACTAGGGGCCAGTGGGGTTTACTGAATAAAGGGTGACGAGGAGAGATCCCTTAGACAAGACTGGAGGATGGACAGCAGTGGAGACTGGGCTGGCCATGGGACAGCAGCAGCCCCTCCCTGGCTGTTAGAGGTAACACTCTTCCTGGGAACCAGGAAACCTAGGTTTTAGTCATGACTACTTTCATCTAAACTTCTGTGTGACCACAGTAAAATCCCTTCTCTCTGACCTTGAAGCAGCTGGTACCATGAAAAGTGGACAGAGTCTGGGTCAGAGGACCTGGCCTCAGCTACTTGCTACTGATGGGAACTTGGACAAATCACTTAGCCCGTGGACCTCAGTTTCCTCATCTGAAAATGAAAAGGTTGAACCGGATGGTTCCTGAGGCCCCCATTGTAAGCTAAAGGGGTGTGTGTAAGCAGAGGGGTCATGCTATGTCAAACCCCATACCGCAGACACCACCAAGAGTAGTGGGAGCTGGGGAGACCCACAGGGCAGGGTTTCCATAGGGCTGTCTACTACCAGGATGCATTGTGTACTAGGTCACCAGGAGAGTTGGGTGGAAGGGAAGAGGGTTTGGCTCCCACAGTCCATATCTGTGATTGCATCCCGTGCCTAAGGTGGGCGGGGGGGGGCACTCATCCTTAGATTGTTGCGCTCTCCCTGGGCCAGTTGGGGATCAGGCTTCAGAATCCATAGGAACCTTGGCTTGGAGGACCTCATGGTCCCAGAGCTCCATCCCTGGGCCAGTTGGGGATCAGGCTTCAGAATCCATAGGAACCTTGGCTTGGAGGACTTCATGGTCCTAGAGCTCCAGGTCAATGGACGGGTGTGAGAAATCTACCAGATTGTGGCTAAGGGGTGAGTATGGTGCCATGGCATTCCTCCTGCTACCTGACTCAGTTTCCTTTGCTGGTTTTTTCATCCATATCACATTCCCCAACTGGGGATGTTCCCAAAGCCCCAGGGTCCTCCTCTCTTCTCTCTCTACATGCACACTCTCTTTGTGACCTCACCAGCTCCTAGGGGCTAAATGACCATCTGTCTGCCTATGACTCCCAGATAGATCATAGAGACAGCTCCAGGCCTGGCCTCTGGGGAGCTAGTACGGAATGGCCAGCTGCATACCAAACACCGTAGACTGTAGACGGGATGTCCTGGAGCCATCTTAGACTTAATCTGTCCTTATCTTTTCCCCAAAACCCACCACCACCATCATCATTCCAGGCGCCCAGATCCTTCACTCCTCACTCACCTTAAAGATCCACTAGGTGGCGCAGTGGAGAGAGCACTAAACCTGGCTTCAGGAAGACCTGAGTTCAAGTCCTGCCTTAGCTCCTTACTAGCTGTGTGACCTGGGCAAGTAGGTCATTTGCTATCTGTTTGCCTCAGTTTTCTCAACTGTAAAATAGGGTAACAGCAGCTTCTCTACCTTCCACAGTTGTTTCAAGGAGGAAATGAGGTAATATTTATAAAGAGCTTAATACAGTACCTGGCACATAGTAGGGGCCTAATAAATGCTTATTTCCTGCTTTCTCTTTCCACCTCTACAGCCTCTTCTGAAGCTGTTCCCTTCTCCCTCCTCACATTCAGACCTCGCGTCTCATGTGGATGGAAACTCCGGTGACCATGGAACTGGCCTCCCAGGCCTGCTCTCTCCTCCCTCCTATCCATCCTTCTAACCGCCCCCAAACAGTTTTCCTTAATCATAGATCTGACTTGTCACTCTCCCTCCTCAAGAAATCCTCCTTGTTGTGCCCTATTGCCCCCAGCATGCGACAGGATAGAATCCTGTTTGCCCTTTCCCTGGGGCCTCGGCCTCCCTTTCCAACCTTACTCTCTATGGAGACCTTCCCTACGATCTGTGCTCCAGGCAAACAGCTTTTCTGCTGCCCTCTCCCCCACCCCAGCACTGACGCCTTTGGCTGGGTGAGGGGCCACCCTGCTGCAGGAGTGCACGCCTTCTGGCCCACGCACCTCACGGCTCATCTTACGCTGAGCACCTGCTTCCACCTGAAGCCTCTTTGCTCCTCTCCCAAGGTGGCATTTGCACTTGTGTATACTTATACATGGACACACTGTCTCCCCGACAGACTGGAAGCTCTTCGAAGGCAAGGACATGTTTGCCCAGTGCCCAGCCCAGAGAGAGGGCTCTTCAATGCCTGTTGATCAGCTGACTGAAGGTCCATTAGATGAGGGCTGTGAGGTGGAAGACCCCCTCCAAGAACGATGAGCTCATCCCAAAGGCCTCCAGGCAAAACCCTCCCTGGCCTAGCCCAAGAGGTCTCTCCTCAAGAACACCAGGCATCATCACTAAGTCCTTCCCTCCTAGGGATCCATGGGGTAGCCCAGGCCATGGCCCACCTTGGGTTTCTAAAGTTCTATGAAGGTCACTGGTGGGAAGGAGAGGGATGGACCCCAGGCCTTTTCTGACAGACAGAGGAGGGCAAAATCTGGACTCTAGCTAGCAGTGTTGGGGAAGGTCCCCAGCTTGGATGGGAAGTTAGACCTCACCACATCCCACCCCACCACCAGGTTGTCAGCTCTGTGTCACCAGCTTCCCACTCTCTTCACTCTAGAGCTTGGCTTTTTTTTTAACTTCTTTCTAGATTTTCCTGATCCACTCAGGTATCTTGCCCCAGGGGCCTGGGGATTCTCCCTGAGAGGAAGAGCTCCAGACTCATCCCATGGACCAGGCTCCTACTCCTGGTGCCTGTGACATCATCAGCTCTCCCCTGGCCCCTGTGACCTCACTGCCTGCAAGGGCCCAGCCCAGCTGGGCTCCAGGACCCCCAACAAGTTCATGGCCACTTGCCTCAAGACCACCTGCAAGTGGCAGAGAGGATAGATGAGCTCCAACTCGTTGCAGAATTCTGCAGCTGCTGCCAGCACTGAAAATGAAAACCCTGAGAGCGCCTTAAACGATAACAGTGCAGTGGAGCTGCAGGACCTGAACCTCACTCAGGGCAAGGATGAGCTCCTCCCTCAGGGCGACGATGAGCTATCTCAGATCTACTGGGACTCCGGTGAGGCCCTGCCTTTACCCAAAAGCCAAGACTCCAGTGAGGATGGCACTGTGATCTCCCACAGCCACCTCTCACTCCTCTTTGAGAGGGAGGTGGCACCTGACCTGTCCACTTCTCAGACCAGTAACTCCATTGCCTGTCCCCAGACTCACAACCCTGTGTACCCCGGGTCTCCCAACCCCCAGTCCAGTACTTCCCTGATCGGCGCCGAGGATGACAATGACAGCTACCTGAGGTCAATTACCAGTCTGGTGGGGGGTGGGGAAGGGCCCATCAGTTCTCTGACCGACATCTTGGTTTGGACAGAGACAGCCATGGGCACAGCCACTGGGCTTCTGAACGCCAGCCACATGTCCGTGACTGATGTACTTCACGGTACAGGGACTGCCCTTCGCTCGATGACCAGCCTGCTGGGTAGGGCCCACAATGTTTTTACCTCTGGGCTCTTCTCTGGAACTGGTACCGTGTTTCGGACGATGAGCCAATTCTTAGGAAACATTGAAAGAAGAACGGTCAACGGTATCCGCTCTGCCTTCCGCTTCATGGCTCTCCACATCTCTCTCCATAGGAATAATGCTGGCAATAACTAAGACCCGCCAGGAACTGTGGGGCCAAGGTGGCTGGCTTCCCTGCTCCTCATTTAGCCCTCCCGCCATCCACTCTGCCATCCTTTTTTCCTCAGACCAGGCTAATAAATTACCAGCGCTCGTTTATTTTTTAAGCCCCTGCCTTGTCCCTTGTCCCCACGGTGGGGCTGGGAGGGGGGCAGGGAGCAGGGCCTTTCTGGCTGCCCAGGGGAAATGGCACAGAACAGACTGCCCTGCCCAGACACCGGAGGAAGATCCGGTCAGACCCAGGTTAAGTAGTGAAGCAAAAGATTACTCATTGGCAAAACCTGGCAGGCAGGAGCAAGGGGAGCTGGGAGAGGGGGAAGGTGAGGGGGCATGGTGGAATCAGACCAGAGACCAAATCAGATGAGCAAATAGCTGGAGATTTGGCCTTCTTCCTAATTAGATAGGGTCAAGCGGGAGAGAGGGTAGGGCTAAGCAGCAGCAGCAGAAGCGTCCCAGAGGGCCCAGGGCCAGCTTTCTTTCTGGGGCTCCCTGAACTCTGGTGACAGCTTGGGGATACCACGGGAGTCATTCATTCATTCAACACCAACTCCAGGGGAACACGCTTGGAGTGCCCGGTGCTTTGACCTCAAAGAGCTTGGGGTCTAGATGCCTGCCCAAGGCAGGCACGGAAAAGGGGCTGCAGCCTGGCACCAGCAGGAGCTGTAAGGAAGGAAGCCTGCAGTAGAAGAGGTGCCCTGTTGAAGGGGCTGATGGGGAAGCTGGGTGCAAGGGGCCAACCCTTTCTCTCCATCCATCAGCCCCTCCCCCTTTCCTGGTTCTGGGATCTCCCCTCCCCCCTGGCAGCCAACATTCCTTGGGCTTTAAGAATGCTTCTGTTGGGAACTGGAGATCCCCTAATCTGGCCCTCAGAGATGTTTCTCCTCTCTTAACCAGTAATTCCTGGTCGAGCTGGGCCACCATCTCCACAGGACTGGCCTGGCCTCCCACTCACCAAAACGTGTAATGAAATCTCCAAGTACAGTGCTGAATGGGGATGGTTTGGGTGACATCAACTAATCAGTCAACATTTATTAATCACCTACTATATGCCAGGTACTGGTCTAAGCGCTGGTGATACAACAGGAGGCAAAAACCATTCCCTGTCATTGAAGAGCTTACAATCTTATCAGGGAGATGACATCAAACAAGCTAGAGACAGGATTGTTGTTTAGTAGATTTCCAGTGCTGTCTGACTCTTTGTGATCCCTTTTGAGGTTTTCTTGCCAGAGATACTGGAGTGGTTTGCCATTTCCTTCTCCAGCACATTTTACAGATGAGGAAACTGAGGCCAGCAGGGTTAAGTGACTTGCCAGGGTCACACAGTAAGTGTCCGTGGCTGGATTTGAACTCAGGAGGAGGAGTCTTCCAGACTCAGCAATCTATCCATTGTACCACCTAGTTGTCCCATACACAGGATAAATAGGACATAATTAACAGAGGGAAGGCACTAGAATTAAGGGTGGGGAAGGCTTCCTGTAGGAGGTTGGGTTTTAGTTGAGACTTAAAGGAAACCAGGAACGTCAGTAGTAGTTGGAGCAGAGGAGAGGGAGCATTCCAGGCACGGGGGATGGCCAGAGAGAAGGCCCAGAGCTGAGAGATGGGAGTTCTTATTCATGGAACAGCCAGGAGGCTGGTGTTACAGGATCAGAGTGTGTGTCTGGTAATAGGGTGTGAGAAGACCGGAAAGGTGGAGTGGGCTAGGTGAGGAAGGCCTTTGAATACCAAACAGAAGATTTTGTATTTGACCCTGGAGGTGGTATGGACCACTGGGGCTTACTGAGTACAGGAGTGACACGGCTGCACCTGAGCTTTAGGAAAACCCCTTTGGTGGCTGAATGAAGGGTAGACTGGAGTAGGGAGAGATCTGAGGTAGACAGACCCCCCCCCAGCAGCCATTGCAGTAATCAAGGCATGACGTGATGGGGGCCTGCACTAGAGTGGGGGCACTGTCTGAGGATAGAAGGGGGCAGATGTCCCCCCAGAGATGTCCCAAAGGTGAAATGGGCACCATGTCGGATGGGGCAGGGGCAGGGTGAGAGACAGTGTGAGAGGCCCAGTGGGCCTGGGAAGATGGTGGAATGCTCTAAGCAACAGGGAAGGTACGAGGTGGGGGGAGGTGTTAGGGAGAACAATAATGGCTTTGGTTTTGGCTACCCTGAGTTTAAGATGTCTGATGGGCATTCAGGTGTGACAGGTGCCCTGCTCTGTCCATCAAAGAAGCTTAAATTCTTTCTACATTATCTGCAAAAGGAGGGCCTTGGGCTCCAATGTCTCCAGGGCATCTGCCTTTTCTGAAAGCCAATGAGGGGAGGCAGTTTCCTTAGAACTGAGCATAGTTAAGCAACCTAATGTCAGAGGGTAAGTCTGGGGCTTGGACTGGGTTAAGGCCACTACGTTTGTGATGAGCTCTGGCTTCCCTGGACAGCTCTCCTTCCCTGTTGGGAGAGAAGGAAGGCCTTTGTAAACCTCAGAAGTACAATGGAAGCAATGGTCATTGTTTCCCCTGGGCCCATCAGTTATACTTTCCTTGGAGCCAGATCAGGCTAGATGGGGAGTTGTTCACAGGAACCCGTGGACCTTGGCCATCTAGCCTTTTGGAAACCGCCAGATCTCCCCAATGACTTTCTCAGTCTTCTCTTTGCCTCCCTCCCTCCCTCTGGCATCCTCCTTCCTTCTCCTGCTCCCCAGGCACCTCCCAGGCTACTCTAGCCTGTCTACCCCTCTTCCGGGCAGAAATTCCAGAGTTCTGGGACCAGCCCAGTGCCACACCTACCCCACTCTCACCATGGGGCAAAAGATTCATTCAACGGAATTCCAGATAATTGTTGAGGATTCACGGGTAGCTAGACGGCCCAGTGGATAGAGCGCCAGGCCTAGGTTCAGAAGGACATGAGTTCAAATCAGGCCTCAGACACTAAGCAAGTCATTTAACTCTGTCTCAGTTTCTTCACCTGTCAAATGAGCTGGAGAAGGAAATGACAGACAGACCACTCCAGTATTCTTGCTGAGAAAACCCCAGATGGGGTAATGACTGAACAACCACATAGTCTTTAGCTAAAGTTTTGCCTATTGAACTTCTACAACTCGGGTGTCCTATGACATCATCCTGTCCCTAGGGCCCATCGGCATTACCCAGCTGCCCCCTACTCTCTGTTTCCGGACAATGTCTGGTAGTCATTAGCACCTTCCTAAGCTCAACCCAAATCCTTTCAGATGTGTTAACAGTTTCTAATGAGCATGCCAGCTCCAGGCCACCTCCAGGAAGGGCTTTCTCTAACAAGCTCATCATGAGATTGGAAGCAGAATGACCTCCTGTCCTTGGAGGTTAGGCCTCCCAGACCTTTATGTTGCCCCTATGAGCCAGGTTCCTGGCTCCCTTGCTGGCCGGTGGGACCCAAAAGACTAAGGAAGGAAATTCATTCAGTTCTTAATCCCGTCTGCTTCAATCTCCTCCCCACAAGACTCAGGCAACAGATAGTGTGGGAGCTTATTACCAGCAGAGCTATTAGGACACACACCAGCCCTTTGATGGGAGAAGGAGAATTTCCTTGGAAATGAGCAGGTCTAAGCATCGACCTGGTTGTAGGGGAGGCAGTGGAGCAGAGTGGGAGCAAGTTTCTCTGGAGATCACCGGAGGATCTCGGGGCTCCTGATGGTGACCTCGTGTTTCTGTGACCCTGGGCTAGGCACTACATCCTCTAAGGTTCTTAGCTGCCTCATCTGTGAAATGGGGATGAGGGAGTTGCCTACCTTCAGGGGTGGTGGTGAATGGCCCTGGTAAAAGGAAGTTTGGATTCGGAGCTAGAACATGTGATTTGGAATCCAGCCCCGAGACCTGGCATGAGTCCTTCCTCTCTCTGGATTTTGCTTCCTCCTACGTAAAATGATAGCATTGGATTATTCAACCTTAAAGCATTAAAAATATTAAAATATTAAGGTATGTAGTAATTGTTTTTCTGTGTGATTGGCTGCCTTCTAATCCCGTGTATTCTTATTTTCTGCATTTAAGAAAATATGTTTGTGAGAAGAGCTCCAGTGGCCTCACTAGACAGCTTGCCCACTGGGGCCAGGATGTGGACACATTCACGAATCCCTGGCGTAGACGGGTCCTAGGGCCTCGTCCAGAAATGGCCCTGTGATCCTGGGACTGGCGAACACCAGAAAGGTGGCAACTGGCCAAGATCTAGTGCATTTACTGGATTGTTAGGGAATGTGGACACCAGAGAGGCAGCTACTGAGGGTGTCTGGGTTTTCTGAACCCCTTGACCTAGGGCATTTCCATTTTGACTCCTTTTACATGCCCTGTTATTTTTCCCGCGGGCAGCCTGTGCCAATAATGAGGCTGATCAGCCGTGGTCAGGCTTGGCCTCCTTGGATGGGCCCACAGCTTTTGTTTTATTGTCTAGCAAATTATTACTCCCCTCACCCCTAAAGGGATTGTGGACTGAAGGGTGACTTGGGTTTAAAATGTCCAGATGATACATTAGCAGTGCCTTTTTATCTTTTTTATCTAGTATTTAATTTTTCCCCAGTTGCACGTAAAAACAATTTTAACTTTCATTAACAAAGCCTTTTTTAAATGTTGTAAAGAAACAGAGAGATAGGAGGGGGGAACACAGAGAGGGCCAACCCTGGAGTCAGAAAGACCTGGGTTCAAGGCCTACTCCTGACACATACGGGCTGAATGACCTTGGGTAGGTCACTTATCCTCTTGGCTAGTTGCCAACCATCATGGACAGTGAGAGCTCCCTATGCTGATGAAATAACAGAATTGATTGTACCCAAAGGGGAGACTCCCCAGGGCAGCCAGCCCTGTCTCTGCCAAACTGTGATATGTCCCCTGGAGATGGTGATCCCAATCCTTGACCCAATAAAGAGAGCTGGGGGTGGGGATTGCTGCTGCCCACCCACAGTGAGCTGGTTCAGAGGGGAGAGGGGGCAGAAACTCCCCTGGATGGGTGTTATTTGTTAAGCAAAGGCAGGAGGAATTTGACAGGAAACAGGAAGAGCAGAGCAGAGCAGAGCTATGTGATGGTAGGGATTCTCAGCCCCTCTCCAGAAGACGGAGAAAGAAGTCAGGAGCTGCCTCCAAAGTCACTGGTCAATCTATGATACTGGGCTATCTCACTAACCCCAGAGGCATTGAGATAGCCCCTCACTTTTTACCACTGGCCAGTGACAGTGGCAAGGTAACGTGACAAGATGGGAGATGACGGGATGGAGACGTGTCTCTTGGGGGAGGGTGGCTGCCCAGGTGTGGCACCATGGCACTTCACCCACCTGGTCAGAAAGGAGGCTCAACCCTTCCTTGACATGCAGCAGCCAGGGGCAGCTGGATGGTGCAGTGGATAGACCACCAGCCCTGGCTTCAGGAAGACCTGAGTTCAAATTCTGCCTCAGACACTTGACACTTACTAGCCGTGTGACAAGGCAAGTCACTTCACCCCACTGCCTCGCCAAAAAAAAAAAAAAAAGCCAGACATGCAGCATCCAGTCAGGTAAGACCAAGGCCCAGACAGAAATGACTTGCCCAAGATCACTGGCATTTGGGCTGGGATTTGAACCCTGGATCTCTGACTCCAATTCTATTACTCTTTCCACTGTTACCCACTGTTAAGAATGGCTTGGCCTAATATCTGAGATCCAAGGTCATGGAATTATTGACTTTCAGAGGTAGATGGGACCTTAGAAATCACTGATCCTTGAGATCAGTGCAAGGTCTTAGGGCACCCATCCAAAGCCTTTGCTCTGACACTGAAGACTTCTTGCTAAAAATTCACAAAATGTTACTGTCTCCCTTAAAATATTGATTTCAAAGCCTGCTGCATTTTGAAGAGGTTTTTACTAAGAGTGAAGATGAAAATGTTCTCCTGTGTTTCTAGTGTGGTAGAGAAAGAAGCTGGCACCTTGGCTCTAGCCCCAGAACGCCTGGCTTTCTGTCTCAGCTCTTGCCCTGGCTGCCCGTGGGACCTTGCACAAATCCCTTCTCCCCTTCGTCTTGCGTCCTTGAGAGTAACTCGTTTCTGGCTCAGGAACTTGGTGAAGTTGCCAAACTGGAGACGGCCGAACGCAGAGTCAGGAAGACCTACCCTAGCAGTGCGACCTGAGTAAGTCACTGTACTTCTAAGACTGCCTCTGCTGTAAAATGGGGAAAATAAGAGCTTCTCCCTCCCAGGGTTACTGAAAGTATAAAATGACATATTTGTACAAAACTTGGCACATTTTACAGTGTTAAGTAAAGGCAGTTGTTATCCTAAATGAAAGTCAGTGGGAAAAATTATTCATACAACAGTACTGGGTTAGTGACACATTTTGGATTTCCTCTCCTTTTGTTTTTCTTTCTATCACTTACTTATGCATTTGATCTCATTACTTTATCGTGTTGTTGTGGGTGAGTCATTTCAGTTGTGACTGACTCTCCTTTCCGTGACCCCCTTTGGGGTCTTCTTGGCAAAGACACTGGAGGGGTTTGCCATTTCCTTCTCAGCTCGTTTTACTATTCCTAATTTTTCCTATGAGAAGCAGTCTGGCTTGTTGGCTGGAGGTAACCCTGCAACCTCAGCAGCAGTGGGCTACTGTGCTGCATCCCTGGCTGTGAGACCCTGGGTTAGTCACTGAATCTCTCAGGGCTGGGGACAGGTCTAGGTGCAGATCTAGGCGGACGTGGGCAGTTTCTTACCTAGATTTCCAGCACCTGAAGATCCAGATCCCTCAGGTAGGTCTCAGCAGCCTTCAGGTTCAAATAGAATTGGCGAATGTTGAAGAAAAGAAATAAAAATACAATAGAACATAGATAATGTTAATTTGTGGTTTTCTGAGTCACTATTAATCCTGTAGGGTTTCTTCCATACAGGTTACTGGTCTCCCCTCCAGTTAAGCCTGAGGCTGCTATCCTACCCCAGTGCATTCCCTTGGGGGAGTGCAGATATTTGGAATCCAGACTATTTTAGGTAGTACGCTTACATAAAGCATATCTATGTAAGATACAGTTCTTTATATAAATAATATTCCTATAGCATGTGTTTCCATGTATTTGTCTATAAATAATTAGATATTGTTTATTACATAGTACCTGTCTCAACAGGTCTCAAAATATAGACGCCCACCCAGATTTGGCCCCTACTGGGGCTCAGGGGTTGTAATGGGAATAGGAGCCCGACTGCAGAGCCGTAACTAGGAGTTGTGGTGCCCAAGGCCAAGACAGAGGCAGGGCAGAGGCCAGAACATCCCCGACTTGGCTCTGGAGCTGCCTCGGGAGCAGCCAGGCTCTTGGAAAGGGCAGCCCAAGCCCTTCGGCTCGTCCTGTGACCCAGCCTGGCCCTCCAAGGAGGAATGAGGGGCTGGGGAAAGTGACGTTCTCTCAGGGGTGTTGCCACAAGGCTTGGCAGTGGGAGGTGGACTATTGCCAGGTAGGGAGGGAAAGGCCCCCTCCCCAGGCTGCAGTCACCTTGCCTCCTTCTCACTCGAGTCAGGCTCTCTCTGCTCCTAGAGCCCGGGGGACAGAAATCAGCCAGAGGGCCCCCCACAGTCCTTTAAAGGGGATAGAGTCATTCCAGCCCCTCTCTGCCTCCCCAGATGGGAGACTCCCAGTTGTGAGGCTCAGGCAGCCTGTACTAAGTGACTCCAAACCCCTCCCTCTCCTCCCCTTCCCCCTTCCCCCTTCCCCCTTCCCCGCAAGCAGCTGGTACTGCAGATCTGAGTCTGGGAAGATCATTGGAAGAAGTCCCTGGAGGAGGATATACAAGGTCGAAAGGAGATAATGGGAGGGAGTGGGAAGAGGGAGAGGGGAAATGCTGGGAACGGAGGAGGAGGCAGAGGGAGGGGACAGCAGTGCCCTCTCCCACTCCACAGCCCCATTCTGTGAGCTCCAGGGAAAGGAAGGGGGTGAGAGGTGCAGGATTGCATCTGGAATGTGCAGCGCCCTCAGGGTGAGGGGTCCTGCCGGTACCCAGAGCAGGTACCTGGAAGAGTGCCAGGGCCTGCAGCAAAGGAGGAGGGCACCCAGACAAAGCCCGGCCAGCCAGGGCCAGGATAGCAGCCTTGGGGAAGGGAGGGAACAGAAGCCACGGGATTCGGAACAAGCTGGATGGCTCAGCTCCTCAGAAAACCCTCCCTGACACAGATGCCAGGCTCAGCCAGTCACAGCGGGGAGGGCACTGGGGCCCAGCCTGGCAGCCAGATGCTGGCTCCCCTCCTGCCTTCCTATCTGGGGCCCTCAGGTTCAGCCTCTCTGAGGAGGGTCAGACTTACGGCTGGAAAGGGAGGCCCTCAAAGGTCATAACATCACTGATGTGAAACTGGGACATCTGTACAACTTGCTCATTTTACAGGTGAGGAAACTGAGGCCCAGCTAGTGAATGCCTGTCGTGGGATTTGAACCCGTCTTCCTGACTTCAGGTCCAACACCCTGGCCAGGACACCATGCTGCCTCTCACCTAAAACCCTCTCCTTTAGGATACTAAGGCACAAGAAGGTGGCTTGCCCAAATCACACAGCCATGAATTGTCAGGGGCAGGGTGGGATTTGCACCCAGTCCCTCTGGCTTCAGAGCTAGCAGGCTGTCTGGTCCCCATGGGATGCCTGGTGATGCCTGGGGGAGAGAGGGCAAAGGAGAAATGGAAGCTTTGCCCAGAACCACACCCGCAGCCGCCTGCCCTTGGGCCCCCCTCCCCAGGCTGGCAGGCTCACAGGGACAACCCCCCAGGCCAAAGCTCTTCCGCGCAGCCCCCACAGTCTCCATGGTGACAGTGACCTCATTCATGGGCCCAGAGGGAGGGGAGAGGGCGGACCTGGTCATCTGGGCTGGTTGCTGGGGCAACCATTTTGTGACATCAAGTTAGTGAGGCTCCGTTCCCAAGGCAACTGGCCAGAGTTATTTGTGTCTTGGAGAAGCACTGTTCCCCTCACTGCCTGCCCCCCCCCCCCCAGGCCGTGGTAAAACTCAGGAGACAATGGCCCTAGCTGGGGTGGGCCAGAGGGGCCTAGAAAGAGGGGACTTTTTTAGCTGGGCTCCGAGGTGATGGACCACTCCTGCCTACAAGAGGCCCTGGGCTCTGGAGGGATGGCTTAGGCTCTCAGCTCCACCCCCTGTCCCTTCTTCCTGCCCCTTGGCCTCAGTTTCTCTAGCTGTACAAGGGCATCTGGAGTCAGAAGACCATGGGGGTCTAAGCTCACGCCTCTGAGGCTCACGGCTCATTCGAAGATCTCAAAGCACACGGGTCATTTCGAAAGAGGGCTGTGGCCGCCTGAGGTCATTGGATTCTGAGCTGGAAGTCACCTCAGGGGTCATGCCCAGTGGAGTCCTGCAGCAGGGATTAGAACACAGAACCCCAGCCCAGGAGTAAGGCCGGGGAGCTCCCAGCCCCCACAGAGCATACACCCAGGCCCGAGCCCTGGTAGGGAGGACACAGCAGGAGGCAGAGCAAAGGCAGCCTCTCTGCCGGGTGGCTGGTCCAAAGTGAAGGAAAAACAAGCCCTCATGTAGTACCTGCTGTGTGCTAGGAACTGTACCAAGCCCTTTACAGATGCTAACCCCTAACAGAGGCGCGATGACCGTCCCCATTTTACAGCTGAGGGAACTGAGGCAGAGTCGGAGGTCACAAAGCTACTAAGTGCCGGAGGTCACATTTGAACTCAGATCTTGCCCATTCCAGGCCCAGCTGTCCATCCACTGTACCTAACCTCTCTGCCTCCCAGAGGTATGAGGATCTCTCTTAACAGTTTTAAAAATCACTGCTCACTGCTCCCATCGCAGGCAGAGCCTCCAAAAACGTTTATTTGATTGAATGACATGGCCAGATAGAGAGCCGGCCTGCGAGTCAGGAAGACCCAGGTTCAAAACCTGCCTCTGAGACCTCCTGGCTGTAGGCAAACTTCCTCACTTCTCAATGCTCCCTTCAACTCTCTCAGTATAAAGCACAAAAGAGGTGCCATCTGCATTGGTGGGGGTAGTTTTCTCACCCGGGAGTTCCCTCCGATCATGAAATCACAGACGCGGACTTCGAGGATAGCTGTTATAAATGACCTTCTAAAAGTCTTAGTGCCGCGGGCAGCTAGGTGGTGCGCGTGGATAGAGCACCAGCCCTGAATTCAGAAGGACCTGAGTTCAAATCCGACCTCAGACACAGAACACTTACTAGCTGTGTGACCCTGGGCAAGTCACTTAACCCCATGGCCTAGCCAAAAAAACAAACAAACAAAAAAAATAAAAGTCTTAGTACTTTGGGATTTGGGGACACCTGGTATACCCCAAAAGATCTCAGCTGGAAGGACCCTTGAAGCCGTCTGGCATACAGATTGCCCCTCTCTTGTACAGATGAGGAAACTGAGGCATTGAAAGGGAAGTGCCCAAGGTCTCCCAGGTAGTAGGTGGCAGAGGGGAGATCTGACCCCCAGACCCCCTCCAGTGACCCGAGCCCCACCTCTTGGTTTAGTGGCTGTGTTTTTGGAGAGTACCTGTGGCTGAAAAATTCATTCCCCCTTATGGGCAGCTCCAGCATCGTGGGCTCACAAGACTCAGAGATCATCTAGCCTGCCTGCCTCATTTTACAGATGAGGAAACTGAGGCCCAGGGAGAGGGGCACAGATGGGTGAGCTGCTCAACCCTAAGTCAAGCTGGTCCTGGTGGCCGGGCACGGCGCTCAGAACGAGGGTCACCCCCACGCTTGGACCCTCAGGCATTTGACCAAGATCTCAGTGAAGCTTTTATGAAGTGCCTAGCATATTTGAGGCACTGGGCATACAAACAGGTCGATGAATCAGGCCCTGCCCTCAAGAAGCTTCCTTTTTCAGTAGAGTTTAGTAGAGTTTATATTTCACACCAAGAACTTAAACTCCAATCTAGCCAGACTCGGGGAATGAAATCTGAAGAGGTGGAGTGAGTGAGAGCCCAAGGATCACGGGGTGTGAGAGCGGCTGGGCTGGGGTGGGGGCCACCAGCTGTACTGGAAGGTTTGGTGGCTAAGCCAAAAAAAAAAATCACACTCGAATATCCTCGGTGAGAAACAGTGCTCCTCTGGGCAGGCAGTATTGCCACAATGTTCACATCTTCTTTCACACGCTGGACAGTCAGCCAGGCTTTGCCATGGACAAGATGCCACCACCAGTGTGCTTCAAGAAGGAGGTTGCCATCGAGCAAGATGGACAGACAGACTCACTGTGGGGCCGTGCCAGCCTGGAGAGCCACTGCCCTGGCACATGAATGGACCCAGGGGTGTTTCTGGGGCAGGAAGATGTCTTGGAATCAGACTCTTTCTCTCTGATGCTCACAACTGGGGAATTTTCTTCTGCCTTTGCAACCTTGTCTGCAAATAGGTCGAAAGAGTACAGCCTAGGGCTCTTACAGGTGTTCTGGTCCACTTGGGGCCAGCTGTAGTCCCCCAGGCCTGGCCTATGTTCGGTAGCCTTCAGGGGAGTGGTGGGCTCTATGTCCAGGTCACAGGATTCCATGGCTGGAAGGCTTGATCTCACTCCCCACTTGCCCCTGCCACAGAGGCCCCTCGAGGGAAGGGCCCATTTTAAATTTTGGCCTTGTATCTCCACTATCTAGCATAGGAAGCTAATTATATCAACCAACCAAAGGAAATGCATTTTTTCAATAGCTTTATGCTTATAATCCAATCATTTGAAAGGTGGAGGACTATGGGTGTGGCATGTTGACTGATTGTGCTTAATTGGTTTTGATCTTGTTACAATAGCAAGGCTCATAGGGCAGGGTGGGGGATGGAGTATTTCCAGAAACGATTATGATTTAAAAACAAAAGGCCTCAGTGAACCTTTTGAACAATTTACTTGTTGATTAGATTTTAAGGAGAAGGGGCCTTGGTCCTGAGGGGGGACCCCAAGTCACACGGCTAAGGTGCCTCAGAGTTCAGTTAATGCCCCTGGGGCACGGGGTTTACTGCAGGGGGATTTTCCCGTTGGAGGCCAAAATAAACAGAATGTCCCACTGACTCTGTTTCTAGAGTGCTTCTAGAGGTCCGTGTTCTCCCGAAGAACGTTCGTGCTTGGAGAGAAGTAGACAGGGTCTGCGTTCGTCAGAATGAACCACTGATTGACTTAGGGTCAAGACCGGGCCTCAAATCAGAACCAAAGAGGGTGGTAGAGAAGGAGCCCCAGAAGCCGTTCTGCTGCTCCCCATAATCTCCTCCTGCTCTGCTCAGATTGGTCTCCCTGTCTCCAGAACATGCCATGGTCACATCCGAAATCTGACCTGCCAGGCTGCCTAGAATGACCTCCTCTAGACGGGGGCCTTCTCTGTTATTTTCTCCAAAGCTCCCTGGAGCTATTTCCTCCATGAAGCCCTCCCTGATAGCCTCAGCCCACAGGTGACTCTCCTTTTCCTCTGACCTCCCATAACCCCGGGTCCCCATCCTTTCACACTTTGTCTATACTGTTCAGGTGAAGAGGCTTTAAGTTGGCCATACTTGACCCTAGAGGGTAGAAGTGGTCATGCTGAGGTGGAAGTTGCTGTGAGGCCAACTTGGGCTCAAGGTTGAGAAGATTTCTTTAACAGCAAGACTTGTCCTGAAGGCATTTGGGCTGCCGCAGGAAGCTCTGGAATGCCTTCGGGTGAAGGACTCCAATGAAAATAAGGGTGGCCACTCATTGGTGAGCTTGTAGAAAGGACTGATGTCCAGGTATTCTTTACATTCTGAAGGTCTGTGATATTTTGTGATTAGCTGATTTAAGAGCTCACTGTGTACAAGCGAACTGTACTAGGTGCTGGCTGTATAACAACAGCTACAACTAGGGTAGGGTTGTACCCAGGATAGGGCAGGACTTTGACCCGGAGTGACAAATTTAGAGGGTGTTGACAGTACCCTAAATGCCTTTGCTTTGAACTGTCCTCTGGCTTACTAGTAAAAGGAAACACATTGGTGGGGGCTCCTGGGCCAGGATTTTAAGGAGATGGAAACCCACAGAGTACCTTGAACCTGACACAGCAATTCTGGAAGCCCCCACATGAGAGAGGGTGTCCTGCTGTTATAATGTCCTCCAGGGGCTTACACCTGGTTAGCAAGACTGACTGATCAAAATAAGATCCCAATGGATAGCTGCCAGGCCGGGTGCCTCTTTTCTTCCCCTCCCTTTCCCTCACTTGAATTGCCAAGGGCTGTCCAGAGCCTCTGTCTCCCCCCACCCCTCTTATGCCTCAGTGGGCTGACTCCAGACTCAGCTTGTGCTGCTCATCCCTCCCCCCAATTGCGAAAGATTCTAGTTCCAAGTCACAGTACACAGATCCCATCTCCCCAACTTGACTGTCAGTTCCCTGAGGGCAAGAATGAGCTCTTAGTTATTTTTGTATCCCTATAACCTAGAACACATAGTAGGTGTTCAATAAATGCTCGTTAGCTGGCTGAAACATTTTTCATCCTTGCCAGATCCGATGGTTTGGAGAGGGGAAGGGGCGTCATCAGAGAAGCAGCCGCATCACAGATGGCGGTGAGGCCCCAAAGCTCCACCTCCCCGGCCCAACAATCCCCATGGTGAGCCCCAGCGTCCAGCCCCCGCCTTGTGAGTGTGAGCACTGGCCACCAGATGGCGCCACAACTCAACACTGCAGTTGGGACCAAAGCTGGACTGGGAGGCTTCTTAAGGGGGCTGGTGGTTTCTTTGCTGTTCCCTGTTCCTAAGAGACTGGGAAGTGGGAGAGGTGGCCTGGGGACCCAGCTTCCTGCCAACACCGCCCCCCCTTCCCTTCGCCTTGCCCAATGCTGCTGATAAAAGCCTGAGGCTGAATGAGAATGGGACCGGATTCCTGGTGAGAATCAGCGGCTGAGGATGGAGGCTGAACACATCCTCAGGGGAGGCATGGAACCCCTTGTTTTACAGATGCAGAAACTGAGACCCAGTGGCCTGCTCCGGAGCATTGCTGAGGAATGAGCCTCTCCATCCGGGGCAAGACAAGATACCAGTGCTTGAAGCCACCTCAGTTGGGCCAGGCTGGGATTTCAGCCTCAGTTTACTTATTTGCCAAATGAAGGGTCCCTGTCTTCTTTTAGATCTGTGCTTCTGTGATGCTGTTGGGGTGAGGGAAGCTGATGGTCAAGGTGGACCATAGGGAGAAGGTGGGGGTAGTAACCTTGGGGTCCGGAAAGCCTGGGTTCCAGTCCTGACTTCTGACTGGTATATAGACTGTGTGACCCTGTCTCTGTGAGAAGGTTGGAGTCAGTTACTTGGTCTCTCTTGGCCTCAGTCTCCTCATCTGTAAGAAGACAGATTTAGACCAGATAATGCCTCCAGTCCCTTCCTGCTCTAAAGCAATGATTTATGGGTGAGTCACTAATATGTACCAGTAAAGGGACTTTCTATCATTCGAATTCCCTATTTTGATGCAAACCCAGTCCTGCAGCTCCTTACCTTCCAAAATAATAGGGTTAAGTCAACAAGCAAGTTACGAAGCACCTACTATGTGTCAGGCACAGACAGATGGAAAAGGACAGCAGATGGTAGCATGGACCAGTAGGCAGAATGCTAGAAATCATCCACCTGGGACTGGCTTCGAATTTCAATTCTGCCACTTGCTACCTAGGTGACCCTGACCAACTTACATCAGTTCTCCGAGACTCAGTTTCCTCCTCTGTAAAACGTGGAAGATGGGACTACGTGATACTGAAAGTTCCTTCTCTGCTGGGATGACCAGGGGACCTTTCCCCTCCTGGGCCTGAGCCCCTCAAGAAAACTTCAATGCTCCCTACGCTCAGGTCCTACTGGTAGCCCCGTGTCCCCAGCCTGGCAATCACGCCCTTCCCACAACTCACACATCCCAAGTCCCCACAAGCCAGAAGACCATCGACTGTCATCCTTCCAGCGCGAAGGCGATCAGCTCTGCTCACAATGAATGGGTGCCTCCCCCCCCCCCGCCCCGCTGCCCTCAGCCAAACCTCGATCCACAGGCCCCCGGAACAGGACAGCCCAACAAGGACAGGGGTTCTTTCCTGGCCTACCCTTGCCCTTGAGGCTTCTGGGATAAATTTCTTCTGAGGATTCCAGTCTCTAGAGCTATCACTAGGCCTGGAATCAGTAAGACTCAAGTTCAAATC